TAATGGCAATTTCATGATTGATTTACATAGGCCTACTACAAACAATTAATTCAATTTTCTGCACAGAATAAGGTAGAAAATACACTTTATAGTTTCTGTACTGTAATAAATGATATGTCAATTAGCACTGCATCATTCATACATTTTATTTATTTATTGTGTTTATTGTCTTAACGTTTCAGTTCATTCTGCTTTTTATTCAGATTAGCTGCAGATATATCCATGCAATAAATGCACAGCCTTCGACTGCTCAGGTAATGTCGTCGGTATGAGAGCCATTGAAAAACTACAGAAAAGCAAAACTACTTCACTTTAGCATTACTGGCCACGGATAGGCTATTAAGGAGAGATCACACATCAGCTGCTCAAAAACTGTGTCAGAGAGACGAACGGAGCGCGATCTCAATCCTGTGACAGTCACCGGCGGTAAATAGTGGAGCGCGTGAAGGAGAGATGCGAGGCACGAACACTGTTCAATTCGTGCTTGTAGTAATTTAATGTGTATATATTTTGAAAGCATTGAATCGCTATAATCGCGATTCATTCGATTCTTAGCGTTTTAAATCGATTACTGTCCGAAATCGACGATTCACGATTCAAAAATCCATGTTTCAAGATCGATGCATTGCATCGTCAGTGTTTGTAATCGATGCATCGAGAACACGAGTGAATCGTTACACCGCTAGTGGTTATCATGATCTAAATGTAAGCCACTATGGAAGACCAAAGGTTAATTTGAATAACATTACAGATGTTACTGTTTTTGATAATGAACATAAATCTGCATCCTAACTCAAGCTACTTCTACTGTCAACTCAAGCTACAGTCAAATGTGCATTTTTAAGAGACAAAAAATAAATAAATAAAAATAAAATAATATTATTAATATTGGAGCCTGCACTGCAAACTGTGCTGAAGATACAAGTCAAAGGCAGGCAACACAAACTTGTTTCATGATTTGAAACAATATCACTCATTATAACATGCAGAAAATAAGAAATTGATTTTTCTACTAAGATATTTATTGTGTTATTAAGGAAAAATGACTGGAAGAGTGTAAAAAATTCAAAAACGTGAAGTATTTGTCATTTTCTGGCCATAACGAGTAGTTTACAACCACAATTATCTGGTTTTTCCAACTTTCACTTAGGGTCAAAAATCTGCCTTTAAACTTGAAAGAAATATTCAAATTCAAATATCAATATTGAGTGATATGAAAATGTTTACAGTGATAATTTGTTTGGTCATATCGCCCAGCCCTACTGTAAAGTACAACAGATGAATCTGTTAAGTTTTGTAACTTTTTAAAGTAAATGACTAAAGTTTCGTAAACTTGTTTCATAAACATCAAATTTAGCAACCTTAAGTTTATGAGACTTTACAGATGTTTACAAAACACAAGTTTGTTAAATTTACACATATTTAATAAAACAAGTTACTGAACTTTACAGATTAAACAGTTTGTAAACATCTGTAGTGTCAAACTTGAGTTTCATCTGTTAAGTTCTTTAACATTTTAGTATATGACTGTAAAGATAAACATCTGTCAAATTTAGCAAACTTGAGTTTATGACACTTTACAGATGTTTGTTAAATTTGACAGACATTCATGAAACAAGTTTATGAAAGTTTACAGACAAATTAACAGATGAAAAGCAAGTTTATAACACTTTTTTTTGTTAGATATTTACAAAACATAAATTTGCTAAATTGTACAGATGTTTATGAAACAACTGTATTCAACTTTACAGATGTTTACTAAACAACAAGTTACAGAACTAAACAGCTGAAACTCAAGTTTACGGCACTTGACAGATGTTTACAAAACAAGACTTTGCTAAATATGACAGATGTTTATGAAACAAGTTTACTTTACAGACATTTACTAAAGCAACATGGTACAAAACGTACCAATTAAAAAAGCATTATAACACTTTACAGATGTTTACAAACCACAAGTTTAGTAAACTTTACAAATGTTTATGAAACTTCCCAGAAATTGTACCAAACTTTACAGATGTGAAGTCTGTGACTTTCTTTATCATCTTGGTTTTCTAAAGTCATGCATATCAAATTGTGTCGTACGTACCTTTCTACTTGTAAAAAGCCCTCTGGTTTGTCGGACTGAAGAGGTTTATTTCCTCCTTTGCCTTGGAGAAAAAATGAAAGCAATTACTTCTAAAAGTCCCAATGTTATTTTTAGCATATGTATTTCACCAAAAGTGTGTTTATATATTTACAGCTCTCATTCAGATAGATGTATAATTTCTGGTTATTACTGCTTAAAAACCTATTAAACTATTGCAACTTTTTTTGTTTTACTTTTTTTTGTTTTTAGAAAAAGTACAATACCACACAATAATGGAGCTCTTTAGAACACTTACATAACTCTATTCGATGTATATCATAATATATGTACAGTAAATACAGTAAATAAATAACACAAAAACATACCTTTGGCTTCACTCTTTTCATTTTTTCTATCCATTTTCACACCTCAGCTATTTCGCAAAGAAAAAAAATAGGATAAGTAAATGTCATGCTCAAATTAAAATGCGTCACACAGTGCCTTCTCCTATTCATTCAATTGTAATCACAAACAATGAATGTATTAATTTAACAGGTTCTTTCTGTATTCATAAGAGGTCAAAGTATGACTAACAGCAGCATGGCTTTAATTACTAAACAGGTGACCAGGATGACAAGTGGACCTGTCAATGATAGCTTTTAATCATCTGACACTACGTGTGCATCACAGCATCATATAGCTTATGAATTATTGAGTGATTTAATAACCACTTTTATGTCTCTTTTTCCATTTCCCATGAAAACGTGAAAAATATATTATGACATTATATTATATTATGTAAGATTAACTGCCTTTTTGGATCATTGATGTGGTTTTTGAGAAATACAACCTCAAGAGAAACTCTGATAAAAGAAGAAGACTGAGCAACCGTAATACACTCGACTGCATGTCTGATTGCTGTCATGCATGTGTCCAAGGCTGTTAAATGCCCCATCACGCACATGTGCAGCACATGTATCTGTCAACACTTTAACTATTACAGCGCTAAACCTCACAACACACTGCGACTAAGTCATTAAAGCATTTTAAAACCACATACGTCGTTTCCAGGCCACGACATATGAGCAACCAGCTTTAATCTCAACAATAAAATAAGGTTTTCTTTGACTTACAGCCGCGTTACGCTCCAGTCCGTCCTCACGCTTCTATCAGACGGAGAAGTGCGACGGCATGTCGCATCATCCTCAACTCTCATTGGACGACTGGCTGTCACGGGTCACGTGGACTGGCCAATCAGAGACGCGCCTCTGTATTGTGAGACTTCATTGGTTGCGCTGCGTACTGTGTAGCGTACTCGTACCGAAGAGTGCGTTAGAACTACAGAGAATGTTTAAATGCGAGACCGTTCCCAAATTAAGTTAATGAACTTTCACTTTATAAACTCTTTAGCTTTAATTTAATGATTTATGCATTTAAAAACTGTTAGTAAGTTTGCTGATATCTTATAGCGGTACATTTAGTGCACGAATTCCTTACTAATAAGAACAGAATGGTTCAGAACTGCGGATTAACTGCAGCCTTTTGTTAAAATAACATGAGGGGGTACAATATACCGCCATATAGCCTTCTTTCTATAAAAAAAAAAAAAGGAAACGTAAATGTCACATTGGCTTCAGCTCTTGCTGCACGTCCCTCTCCTGAACACAACTGTTGCGTTCCTCTAATTAAACACGCTGCATAACGACCTTCATGTTTTTAGAAGGCATCTAATGCATTAATATCGGCTATATTTAATATAATCGGTATATAAAGTTGTCGTCCAATTACATTTTTCTTATATGTAAAAGTTTTGATTAAAATACATTCCAAATGTATTCATATTAAAAATATATCAATATGTAGCTTACAATATACGTTTTATTTATTTTTAATTATTTTCACACGATATCATTTTATAAACATATATTTTTAATTACATTTATATCAATATCTGTACATATTTCTAAGCTATATATGTGTGTGTGTGTGTGTGTGTGTGTGTGTGTGTGTGTAGTGAAGGGAATTTATAATAGACCTATATAAATGAAGAAATAATAACATAACACTATATTTAGCTTACAATATACTTTCTACATTTTTATATAATATAATTTGAAAAAAAATAAAATAAAATATTGATAGAAATATCATTGAAATATATAAGTTTAATCTAGGCTATGTATTGCTATATATTTTAAGCTGTAAATATACTCAAACATATATATATATATTAATGGTGAAATTAATTTAAAGACAGGAATTTCTAATCTATAGCCTATATATTTCTAATATGTTAGAAATATATAGATTACATATCTATATGTAATCTACCCCCCCTAGATTACAATATATTGCAATATATAGCTTAAAGGTTGTATCTAAAAAAAGGCAGGCAACACAAACTTGTTTCATGATTTGAAACAATATCACTCATTATAACATGCAGAAATAAGAAATTGATTTTTCTACTAAGATATTTATTGTGTTATTAAGGAAAAATGACTATCTAGGCTATGTATTGCTATATATTTTAAGCTATAAATATACTCAAACATATATATATATATTAATAGTGAAATTAATTTAAAGACAGGAATTTCTAATCTATAGCCTATATATTTCTAATATGTTAGACCCACCCCCCC